ATAAAATAAATCATACTTATATATAAGTCAAAGAAGCTGCACAAGCTGAATGACTAATTAGATTACTTGTTATCTATGTTAAGTCAAAGAAGCTACACAAGCTGAATGGCTAACTGGATTTCTTATGGATGGATATGATAGGACTTTAAATATATTTTTATAGTACCGAGATATGAGCTTGAGTCTCAGAGTTAACGGTTAGGGAGCATATATGCAGTAGGATGCGTAGCTGGCTGTGTTGGTTGAGGTATGCCCTATTAGGCTTATGTACTCATGCCCACTCAGGTGCGTTTTGCATGTTGCCTTTTATTCAGGTTGAGATCCTCTTCATAGTCCAGTGAGAGTCCCGTAGTATGGATGTATATATATATGTACATACTACATAGTTATTGTTGAGCTATCTAGGATGTATCTGCGTATCGGGTTTCTGTATGGATCATAGTAGAATAGGACTTGTGTGTGGGCCTGACCCACTTTTTTATTTTTTAAATGTTCGTCAGATTCAGGGTTAGAGCTTGGTCATGCAGAGCAGATACAAACACTCATTCCTCTGACTACGTAGGACTACTTTCCATGTTTGGATTTAGATTTTATTTCAGTTGTTTCAATTTCAGTTTGGAATATTATTAGGGGTCCGCATGATGGATTCCCGAGCTGTACAAATATTGGGAAGTTTGAAATTTATTATTTAAATTTTAAGGATTTTTAATTTAGAATTCTTTCAGCGTATTACTATTTTATTCTTATCTTAAATTTATATTCTGTGCTTATTTACATATTAATCGTTTGGTATCCCTCAGATCTATGCTCAGACTTGATCACCCGTGACTCTAGAATCGAGGGGTATCACAGTTGGTATCAGAACATTCCAGGTTCTAGGGTCCTTAGGAGTGACTTTCGTTATATGACTTCCGCGTTGCGTCTCTTAAAACTTAGAGCCATATTAGGATTCATTGTACTCTATTTACGGTTCGTTAGGAGGAGCAGATATCAATTATATTTCATAGTTATGGAATGGTTGACACTAGGAGGAGGATGGGGTCTAAGGCGAAAGCGATACAGACCCAAAGGAGTACGTTATCGAGTTCTTTGTCAAAAACAAAACTTGGGATCGAAGGTTTAGTTCCGGTTGGCGCTACTTTTAAAATTATAAACCAAGGAAGGATTTAATAGGGTGTTTTAGGTCACCGCATAACGGGACCAACACGACTTTAGTTGTTCTCATAAAGGAGAGAATCGAAGAAGATGAGTCCGAAAGAGATTCTAATGTAGGAGATTACAACGTATCCAAGAAGGAGGATACTAAATCCTGACGATGAAGGATTGCATAAGGGTGATCTTATTCGCTAATAGTATAGTGAATGATGCTAGTAGAGTTGGTGTGGATCAACCTACATATAGTTAGACTTTCGTTTTACCTTTAAAATAGGTGGATAAAAAAAATAAAAAAAATAAAAAAAAAACTTTTCAGGAGTTTAGGAATCGGATGAAGTTCTTATCGGAACGAAGTGATGTTTTTATATCCCGTTCCGGAGAGTATTGGGATTAGGTTGTGACATTCTAAGTTACTTATAAGCAAAATTAGACGGTTTGCATTCCGCGTATAAGGAGGATGAGGGTTAAGCCTTTGGAATTTGCTGAGGCAAATAGATTTTGTTTTGAGCTATGGTTAAAAGAGATGGTTCGAGGTTGGATGATTACCGACGAAACTGTGAACCAATCTGGTAAGGTTGATTTCTAAAGGAGATTTTCTTTTCTAGAAGGAACGATGTTTTAGGCAGGATTATATTTTTATTTTATTGTATGTATCTTATGTGTTTCATTTTCGTCAGTTATTTGGGATTGGGAATGTGGTTTGGTTGGGGACATAAGTATGTGATCGGCCAACTATGGTTTTAGAGGAATAGCGTTATTTACGCTAGGATTGAGAGCATATGGTCATAAGATTTGGTAGATATATAACATTCTAGCGACTCTATTGAACCTAGACATGTGTAATTATGGTATGTTTTCAGGATGGGATAATTAAACCAGCAGTTCGAGTCAAATAATCTAGATTAGTTTGGTATACCTTAACGCCACGATAATTTATTGGAGGTACTGACTTTGCTGAACATCTTCTTGGAAATATCAAAAGTTGTTCCCAAGTCGGCAGGAGGATTTTGTACTGGTTTAAGTACTTATTGGAATGACACCAACTGAGGATAGTAGATGGACTAACTATTCATCAGTCTATTCTTAATCAAGAATTTTATTCATATGGGCATGTCATTAGGAGGAGTTACCGGAGTTGTATATCAAGGAGGAAGCAAAGTCTCTTCATTTGCACAAATAATATGGAATTTTTTTTTTAGGTCACAGTTCGCAACAAATAGTTGTTGATAGGAAATTGTTGACTATTTGGAGGATGGAAAGATTTTATATTCTTTTGAAGTTAGACAGGCAGTCTAATAGACACTTACTTGTGTTAGAGAAGTAGGATGTCATGGACATGAAGGTAAGATTGAACATCTAGCTAAGGAAGAGGTGCACGATGTATGTGGCAAAGTTGTTGTTAGTTGACTTTTGATAAATAGAATTACCGATTGACTTTCTATATCGGTAAGTTTATCGTGGATCAGAATGTATGGATTTAGATGCAGAGTTAGCTTTTAACGATGCTCCATATTAAACAATGGGTGCAGATGGAAGCTGGTGGTACTAGACTAATGGTACTTTCGGTAGACAGATTGGAAAGAGGATGTAAGGACTAAGGTTTACCACTCCTAGTTTTTATTTATTCTGGAGGAAACGTGATGTTTCGCTGAATGAAGCAGATGGTTGGAGAAAAGGAAAGAGGAGGGACACAGTGATTTTGTCTCAAAGTCGGATGTCTATGAGCTAATCCAGATGGACCATTCAGAGATCGTTAGACTCTTGCAGTCATTTCTCATACTAGAACGGGAATGACAGAGTAGTTCCCACGGATTTAGTTGAGAGATTTCTGATTTTACACTAGGGTCAGGATTCTGGTTGGGATATTGCTTGACTGATATAATTAAATCAGTTCCATTGATTATTTAGAATTGGTGAGATATCAGTTCATACAAATAGCACGGATCACGAGACGGCTTAGATGGATAGATGTGGTGATTCACACTTTGTATTAAGTTTCGTCTAGTGAAAGTAATAGGGAGGAAGATGATTTGATCAACCGATATGGTAATTGAACCTTCGGTGGTTATTTTGAAATCAGTTGAATTTTAGCATGTGTAAAACAAATAACGCTTGTTATTACCAATGAGATAGAAGAGGTCAGCTTAGAATATTGGGCTGACCCTGGAGGAGGTAGTACCTTACTCAGATGAGCTTAGGGTACTGAAGGAGGATTGGTAGTTGTCTTAATGATACTAGGAGGGTTGGAGTGAATAAGATGCAAAATTCATAAATTTTACGGTGTAGTCAAATGGTTATGAGTTGCATTATGACATATAATGTTAGTTTGGTGCGGTACGGATAGGGACATGTACATAATTGTCTCCAAGAGTATCACCTGTTAGCAAGGTAGAAAATTGACACTTGGATATCATTGGAGGTTTTAGCCACTTCCTATATCAAAATGGGAGTAGGACTAATCAGGAGAAGATGGTGGGTAGAAATTACCGACATTGGTTAGAATTTTAATTCCATATGGATTAAGAGTAGTGGATAGAGCACGTTCGCTTGTGGACACTAATTCTAGTAGTGTTTACTTTGGCGTTTTGTATCAGTTCTACATTGCATTGATAACAGAGTTATAGCATGTGGTTATTTCTTATAGTAGATAAACAGTGTTATGTCAAAGGAATTTTCTGAAGGTGTGGGGGCAACGACTTTGTTTCGCATCTCTAGACGGGAGGTTTATCTTTGGTCATGGAGGATATGCTTAGAACATATATCCTAGGTTTGCGTGGGTAATTGCAAGTGTTACTTCACTTTTCAGTTATTATCTGTGCCAGTGTTGGCACACGGAGGTTAGTGTGACAACGTTTGGGGTTTTGGATGGTACGCAGTGCAGATTTCTCACTGGTTGGTCTGGCATGGAAGCGGGATACATCGAAGCGACGCATTCTCTTTTGTAAAGGATTGCACATGGTTTGGAGGCGGCAGTCGGATTTTGTAAGTAGTTGAACTCGTATATTCGCGTTTTTTGTCAGGAAATGGTTGGTTGGGATATCTTCCGTATAGGAAGTAATGCGTTTTTTGGAGGAAGGTTTGTTTCACCTATTAAATTAACTTTTCACGGATTTTGTTTATCTGTGTAGGCAGTAACCTATGGCTTAGCAGTATCAACTTGTTAACCGTTGCATGCCTAGGAATTTTGTGCGCTTTTGGAAGACTAAGGATTTGTACACTGGTATAGATACCAGATGACATAATTGGAGGCCCCGAGTCATTTTGTCGACCGTCGGGACTAAATTCTTCGGAATAGGGTTATCCCTTAGTGCGTGTTCGGTAGGGTCATCACAATGAGGTTGAGTCTACTTGGAAACAGGAGGATGTCATTCACTCGCAGTTTCCTAACATGAAGGAAGAAGGTAAGAGTAAATTTCGAGGACGGAATCTGAGTTCAAGTTTAATTCGAGTTGAGCTTAGATTAGGTGTCAAATAACCTGAACTACGAGTAACCCAAATTGAAACCAAATGCCTGACAAACATTATGTAAATCCGTATTGATGAAAACTATGTTGTATTTCCCCTTAATACACATATCAAATCAGTATTAATGATTTTGGAGCGACATTGATTTTTTCTTTATTTTCATGGATGTTTGATATCCGAAACCATACCTTAGGTTGAGCCTAGGTTAATCTCTGAATCTATCCAAACCCGTTGAAAATGCCACATTTGTGGCAACATCTATGAGCACTTGGCAGTTGGACAAACAAACATATACGTTGAATCAAAATCGACAAGCAACTGCAAGTAATATATCAGAAAAATGCTTCTAATATAGTGGCACATCAAAATTGACAAGTGACTTCAAGCTAAAAGCAGAGGATGTAATAAAATACAAATCAAGATGAATAATTGTTATAAAATACAAATCAAGATGAATAATTTAAGCCAGCCAAATCCACTTCAAACATTTGATTACATAAATGAAGAGCAGATTAGGGAACATTTCAAAAACCTGGTATTTCTGAACCCCGGTTAAGAATTTTCCCGTAAATAGCTAATCTTGAAATGCTAGAACAAGGAAATATGACAATTGGTTTTCCTTGGGATGTGGTTTTGCGCGTAGCCTTCCATAAGAAATACTATATATTATAGTTGCTGGTGAAGGCGTGATGGCACATGAATATGAAAACAAGAAAGGATCTCATAACCAAGGTGGTAAAGTGAACCTGTATTAATGCATCAGCAGGGTAACACGAAAGAGTAGAAGTGAGTTATAAAGGTAATTAAATGAGAGGTAAGATGATCGTAAAGAAAATATTAGGAATCATGTGGTAGGAAGTAGCAGTCTAGGGGGAAAAAAATATGAAGCTTAAACTGTTATAAAGCTTTGATTTTTAATAATTTTCTCTGCTTCTTAATCTTCCAACAAATCAAAACTGTTTTCAGAGTTGCTTATGAATTTAGAAATGAGAATAGAGCGATCAATTCAAAGAATCAGATAAGAATGACATCATCTGTGTGATTATATAGCTAATGACATCAACATCCATAGGGCTCGGTAATTCTATGATTCAATCTGGCAACCCATATGACAATACAATAAGGGTGCTTTCTTCTTAAAATCAGTTATGTGGAATCATAATTAATTGCTATAACATTTACTTTAATTTTCCCTTTTTTTACTGTTTGCTACAAGTTTTGGGGGCTATTTATTTATTTATTTATTTCATTTCATTTTTCTTTAACTTTGGTTAACTGACAACTATTTGTGTCTTGTTTGGCTCCGGTGAATGTTAAAAGAGGGCTCTCCCTATCTTGATGAGAACATTCAAGCCAAGAATTACTGGTCTGAGACTTAATGTACATACGTTGTTGTTGTTAGGATCATGCATCATCTCTTTCATTAAGTCTACTGAATTTTTTTGGAATGATCTCGTGGATCATATAAGAAGAGGGAATATGTGTAGTTTTTATATACCAGGATTAGCCCCATCCATGCAAGACATAGAAGCAATGCTATAGAAGCCTTGTAGAAAAATAATCGAACTGCATACCTTAATGAGAATCACCCTTTCCATTTTCACAGTTAACTGCATTGCAAAACTACTTGGACATAGATTCCATCAGTTCATCTCTCTACAATCCTCTCCTACAAGCACAAATTCAAATTAGGTCACGTCACCACTCTGAAAAAATAATTCTCTTTTAAAGTTCGTAGCAGCAGTGAATGCTAAGGCCATTAATATGGCAGTTGCCCACATCATTCAGAATTCAGTCCAAATTAAGCAAACATTTTTTTTCCAAGAGTAGTAGTGTTTAAGTGGTAAATATCAATTTGCCAAGTAATTAAAAAAAAATTTAAAAACTTAAATTTAAGAGAAGACATGGTGTATAATAGGAAAGAATGGAAAAAGGCAATTAATGGGAAAAAAGCAAGGATGATGATAATGATCAAGTTGCCAAGTGTAAGGGTGCAGGTTTGATTTTGAGAACAATTACTTTGAGCAAAATAATGTCAAAGGTTGGTCTATATTCAGAACACCCCTCCCAGAATCCCATGTAGGCTGGACCAACAATGAAAATTGCCCTTTAGGCATGTATAAAGATGTGTTTGTGTTTGTTTGTGAATCTTATCACTTTGTTTTCTCTTGACCGTGCGAAAATAAAACTAGCCCACATCAATGTTGTTTTGTGAACATGAATTATCTTCTTTATGCTATATTTGCCTTGTAAAACTTTTGTCAAGACCATATGAACATAAGAATACAAATCATCTATATTTGCCTTGTTTAAGGCCACTCTGTTTTTATAATTCTTTGAGTCCTCTTATAACACCATGAATAGTTCATAAAGTATGTGTAACAGTTATGTAGTATTCTTACACTCGAAGGTCGCCCAATTGGAAGGAGGTACAATAAAATGATTCTGTTTTGTGTCTTGGTCACTGAACAAGCTGAAGCGATCCGTAGTACCATCAACCTTCTGAATGGATGTACTATGTTCAGGCATGGACCCATTTGGTGGAGGTATAATAATCTTGCTCATGTCTAAAGAGCCCTGTTAAAAATTTGATAGTGAGCATTCAAAAAATTTCCAATTTATAATATATGATGATTTAATACTAAAAATGACAGTAAAAATGAACTTAGAAGAAGCAGAAGAAACAAGAAACTGAGACCAGCAGGGAAGGAAAAAAAAAACCATCAACTTCAGTCAAAGAATCTCAAAACCCAAAAACCTGCCACTTCATCCATGGCCAACATGCCCAGAAGAAGGAAGATTGGTAAGTCACAAAACACTCAACAATATGCATAATCACGAGTGTCACTTCCAACTCCCTTACCACATTTACTTCCCTTAATATTTTCAAACTATTGTCATATTAGGAAACTTTGGGAGAGAGTGATTAAAGAGTAACTAAGACTAGATCAGTGATTCAGTGGTCTCAGTTTAAATATTGTTTGATATGTATTTTTCTCTTGAATGACTTCCACCATATCCAACAATGGTCCCTCAAGATGAAAGGGTTTGACTCTTTCCATTTCTTTATGTGCATTTATTCTTCACTTTTTTCTTCTTGGTATTCCCTGCTATATTTTTAGTTTCTTCGCGACGACCATTTTTTTTCCTAGTTGATAACCCCCCCCCCCACCCCAACACACACACACACACAATTGTTTGCACCCAAGAGGAGTCGAACCTTAGACCTGATGCTTCATGAGGTACCAGGGCCAAGTGACTTACCCACTTGAGCCAACCCCTTGGGGTTCTGACCATTTTTATTGTTAGGTTGTAATATATATAATATAGTACCAGATAAGCCAATTCTCTTGTCCTCTTAACTGTGAATCCGGATTTAAGGTAGAATGAGTATGAGGAGTCGCCCTAGACCTGATGCTTCATGAGACACCAGGGTCAAGTGATTTACACACTTGAGCCAACCCCCTTGGGGTTCTGACCATTTTAACTGTTAGGTTGTAATATATATAATATAGTACCAGATAAGCCAATTCTCTTGTCCTCTTAACTGTGAATCCGGCTTTAAGGTAGAACTAGTACGTCTTTCCATGTAAAAATAGTGAATATTGAGGGTCAAAAAGACGCCAACTTGATTATTCATAAAAATGGAGATTGGGGATTATGTTGCTCATAAAACTCAACCAGGATATGTTAAATGGAGTGCGAATTATAAAACTAAGACATAATGGTTAAATGAAGAAGTGATTATAGCTTACTAACAAATGTGATGGCATACGTTAATCTAAAGCAAATGGATGCATAATATACATATTCTTGGCTTTTGAAAGTTTCTTAATCTAAAGCATGGGGATAGGAAATTATAAGAGAAAATAAATATTTTTTGCCTTCAAACCCTTAGTAACCCCGCACATGCCAAAGGCTATAATGACTTATGAGGTATTTGGTAAACAACACAACGTATACAAAAACAGAGCAAGAAGCACACATATACCTGTATGAACAAACATCCAGAAAGAAATTTCCCACATCAAGCAGAATTAATTAAATTTCAAGGTGTATCAACATTACCCGACGAGTTCTTGTCGTACAAGCAACTTGCGCCATGTGTTTCGTAAGAATCTCTTCCTCGAGGGAAAAGCTTCTTATTTTCTTTGGAATCCTTTTTTTGGCTCCATCTTCTACCAATTTGTCAGAATTAGAACTCCTTTCACCAAACACGGGAACTGGTTGTGTTGCTTTCTTTGACGCCCATTTTTTCTCCTGGTATCTGGAAACCCCAACCAATTTACTTGGGACCAGAAAAATAAGAAAAAAGTTTTATTTGACATATCATATAACAGCACAATATGGTTCAGCTGACAAGTTACTTGGCACGGATAAATTTTTCAGTCCCGCTTCTGTCAAAACTTGGTGGCAGTTCTGCTTCCCAGTAACTGTTAGCCTTCTTATTACCCACAGCTACACATACAAAAAACAATTAGCATTTTTATTAATGCAGTAAATGCCTATCCAGAAAATAGAATGGATAGGTAATCAAAATCATTTAGGACAACTTAAGGGATGACGCTATTTTTTTTATCAATAATGGTCTCTATCTATTTCATCAGCAGCTGCTAAAACTGAACTGATACTAATAGCTTGCTATCCATCAATTTGTTCAATTTAGAGATAAAAATTTAATAATAAGAATGCTATCTTCTTTGTGCGCAACATGTGAATCATGGTACAATAGGTCACCTGATTGTTCTGTAAACTGGATATTTGAATGGTTTATATATATTTCTAATGCATCCTATTTTTAGGGGGAAATGAATTGGAACAAATTCAACATTCATGCACATCATGAAAACATTTAACCTTCTGTGATCTACTATCAGGTATTTCATTTCTGTCTTTCTTTCTTCTTCTTCTTATTTTTTTTATTTATTATTTTTATTATTTTTATTATTTATGAGTAATGATTATGAGATACAACATATTCTTACATTGCATAAAAGCAACCTGCTCTGGTAGCCACGTATCCAAGTTTGTAGACCGTACCTATTGCACAAAATCAAAAGACCAAGCCACTGTTGGAAATAAGAAAGGACGAATACAAGAAAATACTATCAACTGATCAAAAGTGAAGTTGAGGAAGAAATATGTACCAAATATGTAGTAGCACTTTACCCATTCCCCACCTATGCGGGGACTTGGGCATTATTTTGCACTAGGTGGCTTGTCTCATACTTAAAACCACATCCACTTATGTGTGTAAATCAATAGTAGTGGAGTGTAAAAACAATTCCCACTATTTTTCTTCTTCTAAAAACAATTCCCACTATTTTTCTGCTTCTTCCAGTATATTATTTTTTACAGAATATGGCATGCAACAAAGTTAGCTGACCCAGAAAATTTATATGTGGGCATGTGAGAACCATTCTATATGAGAAGCATTTTAACAACAGATTTTTATGTTGAAAAAGAGAAGCATAGATTTGGCTAGAAAACTCTCAGCGTAAATTATCTGACTTCATTTTATTTTATTTTTCCTCCTGGTGAAGAAGGATGTAGCAAATATTTTATCTTCAGTACTAACCAATGCCCAATGGCATGTAAACATGAGATGATAATCCAAAAGGTCCAAAACTTACTAGCAAAAATATTCACAAGTAAACACACTATTTGAAGGAGGTAAAAGAAACTGAAGCTTCTTTCCTTTATCTATTACAAGGGCCCATCAAAGACAGGACTAAATCCTTTTTAAGCTGCAACAAGGAAATTGATTGTTCATTGAAATTTGATGTGCAAGCCTTTACAACAGTTAAAGCCAAAATCACCGTCTTTGTACTTGTCAAATGTAATAATACTAACTTGAAAGAGAGAGAGAGATCTACCAGTCTCGAAACCTTGACCTGGGGCCCGGGAGTTAAGACCCAAAGCCACCAGAATAAAGGTAGACCAGTGTAAATCGACTGTCTTCAGCAACATGGCAGTGTAAATCAATGATTTACAGAAGCACCATTCAAATGTTGCCACAATAAATCGATACAGGCTAGTTCACCATATAAATTTCTAGTTGCATTGAGTCTCTTAATATCGAATGTTAGTAAGCCAAATTTGGTTTTTGTTGTACATTCTAACAGTCCCCCTGCTTTTGTATCAGTAGGACATTGATGTTGAAGTTAACATTTGCTGAATGACACATGAATTTGAAGTTAAAACTGACTATGTAGGTCCTGTGGTTTCCAGCATTAATACGCGAGGCCAAAAAGTTCATTGATATTGTGGAAAAAATAGAAGAGAGAGAGAGAGAGAGATAGAGAGGGCAAAGTGTAAACCTTTGAGATATGCACACCTAAACTCCGATGTATTCCTGAACATTGCATGCATATAAATATTCCAAGGTTCACACTTGCCCATCGTGGAGCCCTGAAATAAATAAATATGTTGCAAAACTCAAAATATTGCATTAAAAAATTAATAAATAAAGTGCACAACTTGGAACCTTGGCTCAGATGGTATATTTAGTCCAATTAGAAAATGAAATTCAAAATCTTAACTTGAACTACCATGATAGAGTATAACTACCAATAAAACAAGAGAGTGATTCTAGACCAGAAAAGAGGTTCATAACCTGCCCTTTTGCAAGTAACATTTAGGGCTAATATATTGGGGTACAAGTGTATAAGCATCACATCTGGTTGATCTAACTGAAAAGAACAAATTCAATAGGGAAATGATCAGGTTCATTAGATTGCATAAAAACAAAGGTGGGAGGTTGTAAAGTCAAACGTATTGTAAGATCCATGATCATGTAGGCATTTGCATAGAAGATGGACATAAATGGTTGTGGACCCCATTAGCTAGCCAAATCCAGCAAGGGGACCAATAAGCAAGAAGTGAAAACTTTAAATCCTACCACCAGTCTGTTTCGTGGGAGAAATTAAAAAATTACTCTATGGTTAATGCATGTTGAAAGTATTTATATTCCTGATTGCCATAACATGTGTTTTTTAAATTTTGAGCTCTCTGGGCTAATGCTTTAATAATAGCTTCTTTACATGTCAGGTTTAGCTCAGTCAGAAAACATGAGAGCAAGTTTTATTAATGTTGACGTAATTTACCTTCAATGATATGGAACTAAAGTAACTTAGGGTCCAAATATATAAGGATCCATGAAATTTACTATTAAGTAACAATAGAAAGTCAGAGACAGCAAGCAGAAACTTATTCAGAGGACACTTGTGGAAAAAAAAAAGAACTTATTCAGAGGACCCTTTCCCCCTTTCTTTTGTGTTGTCTAAACAAATAATAACTGAAGTAAAAAAAATAAAAATATCAATACTTGAAGAGGTATCTATGACCTACTCCTAGGTAAACCTCCCTCCAGATGTTGCCTTCTTCTAACTTCCACTTAAAATACTGTTTGTATAAATTTTACATAATCAATACGATTCTAGCTCCTAGAAAACCAAGGTGACCATCTTCTCTAGCTGATTGCATATTTTTCTCCATTAATGGTCTATTTATTATTATTATTATTATTATTATTATTATTATTATTATTTTATCATATCTTCCAATACAATCTACCACTTCCAATTGCAAGACAACCCTTAATCCCAGTTTCTGAAGAACAATTTAATTAATTGGGTGTAAGTCATATTATATTTCTCTAGGTTAGTTTGGCAAAAATGTTTGAAGAAAGAAAAAAAAATTCTTTATGAAATTTCAGGGAAATATTATTGCAAGCACATTTCACAGAAGTAATACCTCTGGATGGCAACAATCATATTTATGTTTCGGATGTGTGCATAATATACTGAGAGAATATTCTAATCATTTAGTGCATAGTGAGTGTTCCAGTAAACAAATGTATAGTAGTATTCTTTAGGCCATTCTTTAGAAACTTAATTGCGACCCTATAACTTTTTGTATAATATCAACAAATACTGAAGCCACATTTTCACAATGTTCTCATGAAAAACTGCTTATGACGTGATGAACTATAAATATTTGAACAAAATATCAGTACAAATTTGAAAACTGAAAAAAGATGCCCGTGAATTAGGTTCCAAAGTTTGCTGAAGGGCGCGTGGCACGATGACCAATAAAATAGTCTAGTCGAGGTATAAAAACTAGTATTTCATCGATCAAAAGTGATTTTATAATCTTGGACAAAATTAGAATATGACTTTTCTACAACAACTATGAACAATAAGTTACTAATAAAAAGGTATTACTTTACGTTTGAATGAACAATTGAGTTGACAACTAAGTTTAAATTAGTGACTGCAACAACATTTTAACATGCTGTTTATGGTTTAAATTAAAATTTTATCTGAGTAACATAATGAAATTAATGTCGTCCAGTATCCAAAGGACAAGATATGCTCCAAAATTGGTGTTTAATAAATAATACAACTCTCCATAGTTTATCAAAAAGGTGTTGAATTTCAATTTTGGGCAAACATTTTGCTTTTTAATGCAGGATCGATTTATACATAGAATTAATGTTAGTAGTTGGGTCCAACAATCTTTTTGAAGAGTGAGTTTTATCTATCTTAGATTTCTTGGTTGAAATTTAAAAAAATTTAAGTAATATTTAAGATTCATTTAATTAGAATTTTAGACTTGAATGTAAAATAGCTATCTTTGTCTTAATAAGAAACAATAGTAGCTAATATAACTAAATCAACTATATCGAGAATACTTTATCTACACAAGACCAACACAATTAGGAAAATCCTCCATTGCAGAGTTAAAAAGTGCCACTAAGAACTGAGAACAATGACTGGCTAGATGATTAGCAGCACAATTTTCCATTCTCTTCACACAAGGCTAAATTTTCAACTCTAAAAATTCTGTCAATAAATAAGAGAGTATCCAATTATAACACCAAATTCGGAAAAGTAAGCTCGACAGATTGGAAACCTTAAAACAGTAAAGTTAACCTATCTCTAAAGCCACACATTCCAACCTAGTTAAATCTTAAAAACAAATAGCTCGACTAAATTTACTTGCTTTTACATTATCCACCAGACAAACACGAGGCACTTTTCACTTACTCAGCTGTATTTAATTCATACACATTGTTTTTAAGAATTATCACAAACCCTCCTTCTGTGAAGACAGAGGGTAGAAATTGATCCCAATCCTTTAATGAATAATTTTCATCCCAATCCTCTAATGCATAATTTTCTCAGATTCATTATGCCTCCTCAGCATCCTATTTTTTGCAGTTTCTAATATAAAGTATAAACAATTCTTATTCCCTAGCTGTGCACTACTCCTGTACCATATTCTCTCTAAACCTGATTCATCTAATTCCAACATATTCCTCCAATGACCCTAAATTCAGGCTTCAGAAGGTTCCAATGTGGTACCTGCAACGTGAACCATCAGATTGAAATCCTGACAGTTGAAATTGGGAAAAGAGCAATCTCACACTTAGAGAGTCAGAATTCACAATTAAATCCTAATGACACAAAATCCAGTATATACATGCCATTTAGAATCTCATCCTACTTCAATAACTATGCTTTCACCATTAGATCCCTAACCTTAGAGCTGTGCCTTGCAATCAATCCCTTTCAAACCCTTTCTTACTCCTTTCTCGAGAAACTACCACTTCCCCTTATAGTTCGGTTATGAGATGTTCAACATCACTTTCGTTTATCAAATTTAAGTAAGGATGTTCAACATGCCCAACTGCCACCTAGGACGCCTAACACATCCCTCATCATATTAATAGATGGACGGTCTATAGAATCATTTGAGAAGTATGATGAATATTCACGTTAGTAGTAGACCTCCATCAGACCAGCGTCTTACTTAGTTGGCACATTCAGTTAAAAGCTAGAAATTAGAACTGACACTAAAAATTGAGTTCATGAATACTGATTGGAAATTTTATTTTATTTATTTTTTGATAAGTAAAATTTCATATAAAGGTGCTCAAGAGGGGAGTGCTCCCAAAGGAATACTGATTGGAAATAGAAACTAGCAAAATGAACTTTTAGTAAAAGTAGAAATTTCATGGGGGAACCAACAGAGTAAGTTTTAACTAAAAAATAGACTCTAATTATCAGATCAACTACTAAAAAAGGAAGCACACATAACCATATTCTTGATAGCCAACAGAGAATAACTCAGAGCAGTTTAAGTGGATCTGAGAATTCTAAACTAGTGTTTGAAATGATTAAAACACTATATAGCTATTATCCAAGTTCTCCTGATATAGATAATAATGGTGACATCAAGATACAAATTGTAAACGAGTTATGAAAAACATACTTGCTCTGACAATCTGCACATTCCCTATTTTCTGGCAGCTTAAGAAGACCATCCAATATCTGCAAAAAAACAGCTTGCAAGATAGTGTTAGTACAAAAATCATAAAAATAAATAGATAGAGAGATTCTGCCATAATAGTAGAATAGTCGTGTTAAATTAATCCTTCATCAGTAATTAACCCAGGGTAAACATATAAACACCTATTCCACTCTAGAATTAAATAGCTTATATTTCACACATATTTTTCAATTTTTTTTATATAAGCATCAATCCATCCATCAATATACATATATACATTTGATGGGAAAAGACAATCAATTAAAAGAGGTAAATAAAAATAGAGTAGATTATAAAGGACGAGTAGTTCTTCCAAAGGTGAAAAATTACTGGGAAAAGATGATTTGAAAGTAGAGTTTTTATTCTAATATTTTTCTTATTATGAGAAATATCAGTTCGACACCTAAAATTACATTGAAATGACTTGTTATTTAGCATGCAATCCAACATTTGGATTGACAAAAAACAAATTCTATAAAAGCACCACATTAACGCTGTATAGAATTCAAACTGAATTTACTAGGGTAATGTGTATATAATGTTAATACGTACTTTAATATGTCAAGATTGGAGAATTAATACACCAAAATGCAAAAGTATAAAATAAATTCATTTCACTTTTTTTGTAAAATAAATTGAATGATTGTTTGAAAAAACCTAGATCTTATGCTTTGAAAACACACCTTTTAGTATTATTTGTCATAAGATCAATATATTAGTTATTTTTTTCGTGCAAGGCATCCTGAATAAATTGTGGATTGACCCAGTACCGCGCCATCAGTTCCAATTGAAAATAAAAAAATCTAGCTGAATGGAAATTAAAATTTTTGATTGCGCAATGCAATGCAATGCAAATAACATTAAAAACAACAATTGCTTGTTTGAACCTAAAAGTTACTAAAACACAGATGATAAAGTTATCACGAAAAATAAAATAAACTCGGAGCCAAGATTTATCTGATCTTATGCATTCTAATTGCATATGTGAAAGCATCGATAATAAGTTTATAAATTGGGATGTTCATGTGAATCTGTGCGTGCTTGAGGGAGAGAGACAGAGTAACAGTCAAAGAACAAGAAATATAATCCTAAACTATAGAGTAACAAATAAAGAACAAGAAATCGAATCCAACATATAAGAGTAACAATTCAAGAACAATAAATATAATCCTAATTGATAAGAGTAACCATTCAAGAACAAGAAATATAATCCTAATTGATAAGAGTAACCATTCAAGAACAAGAAATATAATCATAATCGAATCAATACTTCAAATTTCAGAAATTTTCATCACATATGATGTGACCTAATAAAACAGAGATGAAAAATATATATAGATTGAAAAGGACGGATGTTGAATTAATAACATCAGCCAAAACATCGCATTAATGACGGAAAAACACACCAAGAGAGCATGTATTTATTATTAAATTTTGGAGTCACAGAATCAAATAAAAATCAGATTATATATATATATATATATATATATATATATATATATTGTGTATAACAGAACCTTGGTGTGCTTGGCGTTAAGCTCCTTAGACACGGAGGCCTTCCCGTTCATCTTTCCACCGATCACCGGAAAGCGATCAAAGGCAAACGAACCGGAGAGGAGAGAGAAAGACGGGGGACGTGTTCTATCTCTCTCTCTCTCTCTCTCTCTAAAACCGTGTGGGAATGATTTGGAATGGCTTGGCTTGGCAACTACTAGTACTGGCGGCGAAACAAAATAACAGGAAACGGTCAGGTATTCCCTAAAATACCGTTTGGGACTGGAATATTCTCTTCCACGGATTGACTTGTCTCCATTACCATTAATAATATAATAAGTAATCCGATAGCAGGATTGTATCTTGATCCCGTTGCTTCACTTCCAAGTTTTCCAAACTTTACTCCGCCCACATTCTTTTTGGGGAAGAGATAGTATTTGTTATTCCTCATATTGTCATGTCACAATTTTACTAAAATATAAACGATTTCTATAAATTATATGACGGAGTTTGATTAACAACCTTTAACTTTTTTTTTTTTTTTTTTTAGGTGGTTGTGTAAAGCTGGTTTAACTAAAGAAAGCAGTTTCTTATATTAGGAATGTCAAATTTTAACTTGCCCCGACCAGTTTATGTTTTTTTCTTGAACGAGTCAAGAATTCGATCATATTAATTACTTCTTATTGTGTGTTTTTTTATGTTAGTTCTTTTTTATAATTATATCATAAAGTAATTTAAGAATTTTTTTCTTAATATATATAGTGGAATAGCTTGAATTCACTCTAATTTTAATGTGAGACAAAATCAGACAGATTTGAAATTGACCTTACTAAATCCCATTTACTAGTAGACTTAGTAATCAATTAAACAAGTTGGATTGGTGATAAAAACAACTTTTCATTTCATTTTAACTCAGTATAATAAAGTTAAATTAATATTAATTTACAATTTTTGCAAGAAAATTAAAAACAAATTAAAACACAATGAATATTAACTCATGACATGCTCTCTTTTTATGTATTTGAATCCTGTTAGAGGTAATGTCCGTTTAGTTTGTTTAGTTAGTGTTTACTTGAAATTCAAAAAATAAAGATATTAAAAAAAAAAATTTGAAAAATAGAATTACTTACGGCCAATTGTGCCTCGATCCTGCCCCTCCAATACCTATATACAGTGGAGAAAAACGAACAAAAAAAAACAAAGAAGCTATATATAATATATCCACACAAATCACACAATTCAAGTAGCTATTTATATTTGAGGTAAAAATATTTTAAAATTTAAACATAACGGTCATGCCGAAACGAGAATGATGCACGCAGACAGATGCTCCTTCTAACCCTCCGTTCGCAACTCAGGACAAGACCACCACCGTTTACTGCTACTACTTTTGGCCGATTTCACATTGCATCAAAATCAAATTGCTATGTGGCAAAGTCATTGATCGCGGATGAAGAAGAGGCCTATACTCTTCTGTTGCGGCGGTGCGTTGAAACCCACGACTTGCACAAGGCCAAAGCAATCCATGCCAAATTCATCAAGGGAGCTCTTCTCTCTACCCTTTTCCTCCGCAATCATCTCCTCAACGTCCATGTTAAATGCGGTGATCTTAAAAGTGGTCTCCAACTGTTCGAAGAAATGCCTGAGAAGAACGTGGTGTCGTGGACAGCCGTCATTGCGGGCTTCGTTCAACATGGTTGTCCCGAGAAAGCGCTCTCTCTGTTCTGCTGCATGCGTCAGAATGGAATGAAGCCCAATGAGTTCACTTTTGTCAGCGCCCTCCACGCCTGCTCCTTCTTTGAGAGTCTCACTCATGCCTACCAAGTTTATGCCATGATTGTCCGGTTTGGATTTGGGTCCAATGTTTTTTTGGCGAATGCATTTTTGACGGCTTTAATAAGGCATAATGAATTGTCGGAGGCTTCAGAAGTTTTTGAGGAGTGTCAAAATAAGGATATTGTGTCTTGGAATGCCATGATGACTGGGTATGTGCAGTTCTCCTACTCGCAAGTTCCAGGCTTTTGGTTTAGGATGAACCGTGAAGGTGTGAAGCCAGATAACTTCACTTTTGCTAGTGTTCTTACCGGGTTGGCTGATCTTTCTGATCTTAAAACTGGATTGCAGGTTCACGCACAGCTTGTTAAGTCTGGTCATGGAAGTGAGATGTGTGTTGGGAATTCTTTGGTAGATTTGTATTTGAAAAATCAAAACTTGGTTGATGGTATCAAAGCTTTTGATGAAATCCCTTGTAGAGACGTTTGCTCCTGGACTCAGATGGCTGCAGGGTGCCTGAATTGCGGGGAAGCAAGCAAAGCGCTTGGGGTTATCAGAGAAATGAGGAAGTTGGATGTGATGCCGAACAAATTCACTCTCGCCACTGCCCTTAATGCCTGTGCTAATCTGGCTTCTTTAGAGGAAGGGAAGAAAGTTCATGGATTAAGAATTAAACTTGGGGATGATGTTGATGTCTGTGTGGATAATGCTCTGATTGACATGTATGCAAAATGTGGATGCATGGAGGGTGCATTGGGGGTTTTCCGATCAATGGATGATCGTTCCATTGTTTCGTGGACATCAATGATAATGGGGTGCGCGCAAAACGGACATGCTAGGGAAGCTCTTAAAGTTTTTGATGAGATGAGGAAAGAGAGCGTGGAGCCTAATTATATCACTTTCATCTGTGTGCTTTATGCATGTAGTGCAGGAGGACTCATTGATGAAGGATGGAAGTATTTCTCTTCTATGACCCATGACCATGGGGTATCCCCTGGAGAAGATCACTATGCATGTATGGTTAATCTGCTTGGCCGTGCAGGGCGTATCAAAGAAGCTGAGGAGTTGATCCAGGGAATGCCATTTCAACCGGGTGTTCTGGTTTGGCAAACTTTGCTTGGTGCTTGCCGGTTACACGGGGATATAGAAACTGCAAAACGCGCAGCAGAGCATGCCTTTGATCTAGACAAAGAAGACCCTTCAACTTATGTTTTGTTATCTAACATGTTTGCTGGTTTGAGCAATTGGGAAGGAGTAGGGACGTTGAGAAAACTAATGGAAGCTAGGGATGTAAAGAAAATGCCTGGTTCTAGTTGGATTGAAACAAGCGGAGATCACTTAATGCCTACAGTAGTAGATGGAAGATTCATATAAATGGTCAACTGGCACACTTTTACCAAATGATCTAAATAGACTCTCTTTCATCTGAACTTTGCTCTGTTGCGAACTTGGCATCAACATGTTTCAAATTTCCAGTATGTATTGGCAAACATTCTTGTAATCTGAACCCATGCTTCCACCTCGCTTTCCTGTTGTATCAAACTGAATTTTATAGAAAAAACACATCACCATCACCAATAGTGCTTTGTTTTCAAAGGTTTAGAAAACAGTCCTTTCCAAAGGTTTAGAAATGTGATGCAGAAAAGTCTCCGTTCCGTAACACTAAGAGGAATTCACTTTGCTTGGCTTTGGTTGCAGAAGCTATGGCTTACTCTCGGTCATTGTAGTACTGGATGCATCTTGCAGGCTTGTTCTCCTTCACACCTTCTCTCCTATTGTAGAAGATGAACGTTCCGTCTGAAGTCCAATGGGGGTTTGGAATGTCTTCTGCAATGCATGTCCATGACCAAAGTAGTCACACTACATCTCCTTTGTCTATCATCTCAAAGACTCAAACCTGTGTCCTTCGACATCATCTCTACAAGACCAATGCCTAACACGATTATCATCTACACATTACATGGATGTTTTTCCCACCCTCCCTTTTGTATTTTATTAATTGGCTCATTTGTTTGTGTGTAAAAATATTTTATTTTTCACAACGTGATCTGGTGAACGTGATCTGGTGAGCTAGAAACTTTCTTCATGCCAAGCGCAATGAATTTGATTCAGGTGTGAAAAGGTAATTACCACAAAAAAACGCACTCGCATGTTTCATTTATATTCGAGTGATTATGCTTAAAAAAAAAAAAAAAAAAAAAACTAGAAATTAAATTATTAAATATGCACTAAACTGCTTTATCAAATAAAATTAGAGGTGTAGATTTAGATACATAATAGGTAACGGAAATTGGGGAGGGTGGCAATTGGCAAGGTCCAAGTAAGGAGAGGCGGTATAAATTAATAACATTCAACACGATTCAAATTGAATATAAAATTTGTAAAATTCAACAACATAATTCGAATTTAATACAAAATAAGTAAGTTTGAGTTTAACTTATAATATTCTTAACAATTATGTCACCAACTTGATGAACATGGTAAAGGAAAAACAACAAAAAACTTGAACATCTAACTTGTTTTAATTTATTTAATTAAATAGATTGCTTGACACATTAATTAATTAATTAATGGGTCATGTTGTGTTTAAGTAGATCATCAAAGAGTCTTGTCATGTTCTATTATCTAATAAATTATACTTATTTATTTTTATCCATTAATATTATATTTATTTATTTTGATAAGAAATTTACACATTGATAATAGGGGTAACAAATTACAATACGACACAAGTTAAAAGGGTTTAGGTTTGGCATAAACGGGTTTAGGTCATAAAAAGGTTGACATGATTAACCTGTTTATTTAACCGTTGGATTAAGGTTGGAAGTTTCAACCCGTATAACCCGTTTATGATCCATTTATCTTAACATGTTATATCGTAAATATGACATATATAATATATTGCCTATTTAAACCAAAATACTCAATATAAACCTTGTTAAGCCTTATGATTTTTCTCCATATTTTGAAGGTTTTTGACATGATTATTAAATGAGTTGGGTTTGAGTTTACCTATTTAGTATAATACTCTTATATCGACATGATAAGATTATGACACACGAACACGAATTGTCATTCCTAACTGGTAGACAGGGCGAAGCCAATGTGTGTCCAGGGTGCACATGCCTTTGGCCTGACCCCACCCAATGTATATATAGTTTTTTTTTTTTTTTTTTTTTTTTTTTTTTTTTTTTTTTTAAACATATATAGAGGGAAATTTGTATACTATGCATCCGAAAATTATAAGTTTCCAAAATTTTTAATTTTTTTTTCTATTTTTTCTCTTTTACTCTTTAAATTTATTTAATTACCTTTTTTAAAAGGTTAAATTTTTTTTATTTAATCATGCTCTAATTTGTTTCCTTCAAAAAAAAATTAAAATTTATTTTTCTTTTTCTTATTCTTATTTTTTTTTAAAAAACAATTCCCACTATGTCTCCTGAATTCGAATCCTCGCTCTTGCTTGTAGAAACTTTAACCCATATTTTAGATGTTAAGAGGCGTTAGGTATTAAACGAAATGGTTCTAGTTGGACTGTTGGACCTGTTTAACATAATATCCCCAGGTGGACAAGAGACGAATACAACCCGTTAAAAAAAATTGCGACTCATCCGAGTTGGTGATAAACTAGGAGTCGCACCTCAGCGATTCGGTTTAACTTTAACACCATTGGTTAATACACGATTCGTGTCCCTCTCTGTCTCGCTCTCTCAGTCTCTCATTGCGCAAAAGGCAAAGCCTCTCTCTCTCACACGGTCATCCTTGTTGGTCGCAGTGTCCTCTCTCTATCTCTTTCGTACGCTTCTACGGTTCACCATTAATCCACAGCCGATTGGTTTATAGTTCTACACACGTGCCCCTCTCTTTCTCTATCTAAAATTCGCAATCAGCAAACCCTAAAGTCTTCCCTGTTGGTCGCGCGTTGTCATATCAATCATGTCTTCGGCCGGAAACTCAGGCGGAGGCGGCGGCGGCGGCGGTGGTGGCGGCTCAGCCCCTCAACCCTACTTCTGCTACCAGTGCAGTCGTACGGTTTCAATAACCCCCTCACCTTCCTCCGAACTCGTTTGTCCCAATTGCAACGGCGGTTTCCTTGAAGAATGTGAAAACCCTAACGCCAATCCTAACCCTAACCCTAACCCTAACCCTATCCCTACTCATAATCCATTCTTCGGCTTCCCCTCCGACAATTTATCCGGCTTCCCTTCCTTCTCCGCTGGCTTCGGCGGTACCCCTGTCGTCTTCTCCACCGCCAGTGGTGGTGGAGGCGCCAGCGAATTCCAAAACCCACCCGATCTCTCCGCCCTATTTGGCGGTCCTACCCGATCGGCCACTCTTCAGAGCCCCGGCGAATTTAATCCTTTTGCATTCCTTCAGAATTATCTCAATAACCTCAGAGCAGGCGGGGCCACCATCCAGTTCGTCATCGACAACAACTCGTCTGAGTCCGGATTCCGACTTCCTTCGAATCTCGGCGACTATTTCATTGGTCCTGGGCTCGAGCAACTGATTCAGCAGCTTGCAGAGAACGATCCAAACCGGTACGGCACTCCACCGGCTTCAAAGTCGGCAATCGAGGCTCTTCCGAATGTCAAGATAACCGATGAATTGCTTGTCTCTGATTCTGCGCAGTGTGCAGTCTGTAAAGACACCTTTGAGCTTGGTGAGGATGCAAGACAGATGCCTTGTAAACACATATACCATTCCGATTGCATTCTCCCTTGGTTGGAACTGCATAATTCTTGTCCGGTTTGTCGGTATGAGTTGCCCACTGATGATCCTGATTATGAGAATAGGGCTCAAGGAACAACAATGCCTGCAAATTCAAGCATGGGTTCTGGGTTAGCAGCTTCTGGTAGTGGTGGTGGTGCTGCTGGGGCATCTCAGGAAAGTCCTCTGACACCTCGAACTGTAGAGCGAAGGTTTAGGATATCTTTGCCCTGGCCGTTTAATACTTTTGGATCACCTGCAGAAGCAAGCAACAGCGAAGCTGGCAACAACAGCGGTAACAATCAAGGAGGATCAAACTCAGGAGGTCAGGCTAGAGAAGAAGATCTCGACTAAGAGTTTTATTGATAACGGTATTGTGGTTTATCCATATGGCTCTAAGTTTGTGTTTTGTTGCATTTAGCTAGCTGTACTGGCCTTTTTAAAATAAAAATAAATTTTTTATCTTTTTGCTTTTCTGATACAACCATAATGACAGCAACTAAAATATAGATAAAAGAACAAATGGATAAATTTTGATCACTTAAGGCAGGTAACTTCATCTTATATTCAAGATGATGACTTTGTTCTCCCAGGCTTTGAAATACACTAACGAGTGTTGGCATAGCCACTCAAAATCCATACTTCTCTAAACCATAAATGCCCCATCTTTTTAATCCAAAGAACACTATATCTCAGAAGAATCAGATAGAATTAGAATTAATATGTTTTAACTTTTTGTTGAGGTAGGAGAGATATAAGATTTCCAACTCTTGAGCTAATGGCTTTTCTCCAGAGATGGACCATAAAATGCTGCATCTCTGAACTCTTGCCAAGCCTCAATTATATTCGCGCAGGCTTGAATTGTTCATTGAAATTTTATCAAAGGCCTTTCTTTTACGTCACTCCTGTCTTAGTAGGAGCAGGCTTTTTAATTAAGTTGTAGAGCTTGATTGACAGTTGATTGGAAACTTTAGCTATTGCCTTAGCTGGTTCCTGAAGTGTGAAATATTATCAGTGGCCACAATCTTTGAACTCCCACAGTGATCTCATTACATGAAACATCCAGAAAGGATTTTAGTTTCTGTGGTACCGTTCATTGATTGCTCAAATATTGTTGATAATGACATATCAATCTTTATTGTACTAGTTGGGGCCTGTTCCTCTTGGTTCTACATATTTTTTGGCGATTCAACTGACAAGTGCATGTTTTTATTGGGGCCAAGTCATCTCATCACTGCTCCATCCATTAGAACCATTGAATAGCATCTCTTTCGGAATGCACAAGAACCATTGTAGTTATTTGCTCTTATAAGTTCAACCATTTTTATAAAGTTGTTCAACTCTAAATATCCAGCTTGACGAGTCACATCCTAAATATTTAATTGGTTCATTCTTATTATTTGAGCTTGAATGGTCAATCTTCCTAATGTTCCAAACCTAGGAACTTCATTGTTTCACTGGTTGGAATATGAATAATATTCTGACGTACATTTTCAGTTTCTGTGATTTTCTCCTGTAGGGCGTTCTTGCCATAAACTATTCTTGGGATTGACCCTACCCTTCTCATCTAATCAACTTACTAATCGTGATTGATTTGCTTCTTCCTTCGTGCAAGTGCATGATATTCCCCTTCCTGTGTTGCATTTTGTGAACCTCCACTCCAGCCTCCTCAGATAGGTAGGATCTGACATCAATATCTGATTTAAATGTCAACTCCAGGTTTTTGGAAGCCCAGCTTGGTAGTTCAACTGCTTTCGCAAGTTCTCTTCAGTTCATGACGAATGCCTTTTGGGTTGTAGGCATAAATGGTAGCGTCACTGATTGATGATCCCAGTAGATTTTAATTACAGTTAATAGATAATATATGAATATATATATATATATAACTAGAGGGATAAATTCTATATAAACATGGAATACCAAAAATGGCTCTCTTCTGTGTGATTCTAATGTTAACAAGTAAGAAATTATATAAACATGGACTACCAGCTTACCTTGAAATCCATAATTACATGGAAGAGAATATAATGTCATACCATAATTATCAGTTGTTTTTTTGGTGAATTTTTTGCAGTAGGATACTTAAATAGAATTGACTTCCATGCATAACACTGTTATAACAATGTCATTCCATGATCAGTGGCTGCTTGTTTGTTGAATTTGCCGCCATTCAGTACCCTAAAAGGAAATTTTATTACTTGTATATACAACAGCAACTGAGATTAGTTTTTTCAATTTTCTTATGTTCAGTCACAATTCGTTTGGTTGACCCAGTCATAATATTGAGTAAAAGAAAATTTTTTTGTCTAGGTGGAGTGATCTAAGTATTTACTATGTTAGTCTTGTGCCTTTTAGGACCAGTCAACATGTTCATGCTTTTATTCATGATCTTGGAATACACTCTTCAAGCTGATATGAGACAGGTCTCTGGCTTTAGCATTCCCACAGCCTCATAACATGGATTCGGAAAGTTAACCTTATTGCAGGAAAAAACTGCCATCAGTAATGCATGACGATACAAAAGTAATAAAAAATAGAATAGATGGAGTCATAGGGACACAAAGATCTTGTTACTCTCTATTCTTTGTGGTGAATGACATTGATCTGTGGGCGAAGAGTCTATGTGGTGACAAAGATGTTAATGAAATTGAGCAATAGAAGTGGAAATTAGATCCCTCCTGTGGGCGAAGAGTCTTTGTGGTGACATGATCCAGACACTCTTTAGACTTATCCGGGGGAAAAAAGAAAAAGATCCATGAACTCTTTAGTATTTACGAAGGAGATTATAGATGGACAGAGTCACAAAATTGTGAAATGCATGTTCAGATTGGATATTTAAGAATTGCCAAATAATTTTCTCATGTATATATATTTGATGATTCAAATGTTGGAAGTAGCTAAATGTCTTATTTAGGGGAATAGAAAATAAAAAAATGTTGATCTTAACTAGCATGTCAAGAATGCATGTGATGGTTTTTTCTTTTCTTTATTTATTTTACTCCTCCTCCTCCTCCTCTCCCCTTCTCTTGGTTTATCAAGTCAAGCACCAGTTGTCTTGGATTCTTGAAATGCTTATGTGGGTCTAGAAAGTCTTTCACTGATTATACGCCCGAAAGAAAGTGCAGCCATCCATCTCACTTTGCCACATTCATCAAAGAGATACGGCCATCTCTCTAGTTAGCACACCCCTTTAGATTGTTCTATTCGTGCTTAGGAGTTGGGACTGCAATAACCTGAAAATCTTAGCACAGGGATTTGCTGCAAATAAGCCTTAATTGAAAGGCGACTTATGAACTGTCTGGATTTTGGAGCCTGAGTGCTAGTCTCTGGAGTCCCTTAATTTCTTTCTTTGTATTAACTTGGATTAGTAGTAATCAGAAGAATATTTATTACAATTCAAGCTCGAGCATGAGTACCCTCTGCTGCTGTGGCAACTTTGTGATCTTTCATCTACATATGCTAAAGTTGTAGCACCGGCAACACTCAGGCAAAAATACGAGGCTGTATAGCTGATAATGACGTTGTGGAAAATGATTTGATTCTGCAAGCAATTGCAGAATACATGATTAATGGTTGGGAATCATGATTAAGCTTGTGTGGTGAAGCCTGGTTCGACATGCGCCATTTCTTTCTCCTCTTTCCCAAGAGGCATGGGGAGAGTCTATGACTTGACTTACTAGGTGTCACACCTTTTTGATCTATTTGATTAGAGTTCTTTCTGATGCATGATTATAGAATGCAATTCATGTATTGTCTTTGAAATAATCCTATGAAATGTGAAGATATATGTTCTCTCTAGTGGCAGTTGTACCCAACAGATGCAAATTTAACTATGACACTTATATGTGCTTATTTTGATGCGTTTATGACTTAGAATGTCATGCTAATACCGCGTTTATGACTTTTAGAGTTAGTGTCATACTACTCATGCGGTCGTTGTGGAGTTTGGTTCTCCTGTACAACTGATTGTGGAGCCAATGAATGATCCCATAGGTGCATTCTTTTCTTTTATTATCGTCATTGGTTTCTTTTCCCCTTCTAGAGGTCTTAGCTGTGGTTTCCATGGCCATTGGATTGGTGTTACGAATGTGCTGCTTCTTCAGATTTCATATGGCTAGCCCAAGTTTCACAGTGACAGACCTCTTATTATTATTATCGTCTGTGTTTTGCCAATGAAATTTCTTAATTTTAATTAATTGTCTTTTTGGCAGGGAACAGTGGGTCGAGCTTGTAACGGTGTTGAACTTAGAAGGATCTCCGTATACATTCAAGAGTAGTGATTTTGTAATTTGATAAAAATAAGAGTAGGTAAAATGTGTTTTCAAATTTTTTTTTTCTTAGTTAATGTGTTTTCATTTTCCGAGTTCTTTTTACAATTTCATCATTTTGTTGACTGATATATGTGCATTACTGGTTTGCAACTTCTGTATAATTAATTATTTTGGGACCATTTCATATTATTTTTCGACTTTTGTTATGCATCACCCCCTTTACGCTCAAAACTGATTCATTGCCACTCACTTGCGCATGGTATAGAGGTTGGTTGCTTAAAAGGGCAATGCAAATGCTGTCTTACTTTGGTGATGGTGATGGTGATGGTAATGGTGCATTCAAATGTACCAACCCAATCATTGAAATTTTCGTACCACCCACCGGCAGCACAGCAATGATGGTCGATCAGAAATGTTTGAGCATCAAAAGAATTATGACTCCAAAGCTTAGTTTAAACATGAGAAGGGAGACTGTAATTGAAATAGAGCAAGATAGCTGAAGGGAGGCCGAGTTTGGTTAGAAATAAATGGATGAAGAAAGGGAGGGACAGGCTATATTTTTTGTGAAGAAATGCAAGGATTAGAAGGTACTAACTCAAGAACAATAAGTTCAAATGATGGTAGAGTTCAAAGTCACACAAAGCGGCAGTAATTTAAGTCACGGAAACGTTAATTTAAGTCACAAAACTCGTCGGCCGCTTTTGCAAGAGCAAGAACGTATTTAGGGTAAGTTTAAGTATGCGACTTTGGAAAAACAATTTTCAGAAATTATGAACCAATCAACTTTGTGTATAATTTTTTATTTTTTAATTTATATAAAACTAAAAATAGGAAACTAAACCGATTATCATTTTTTTTCATAACTAGTGGAATTTCAATTTTACTCTAATGACTCACAAATTATTTTTCTTTTTTATTTTTTTATTTTTTGTGTAAAAAAAAAAAAAAAGACATGTTTCAATGAGACTCTAACTTTCAAGTTTCAACCTCTCTTTGGAGGAGAGATCCTTGAGCTATGGGATGAGTAAACAGAAGGAAGTCTAAAACGAAAGCTGAGGCTACGGATAACACGGTATACATATAATGTGTGCGCGTTCTTTGTCATAATATTTAAATAAAAAATAGATAAAATTAATATTATTTGAGTTTGAAGTTTGACAGGTGATGATTGCACGATTTTTGTATGCGAAATGAAAAATTAGTGGTGTTTTTTCTTTATATGGTTGGTAAGGGTTGATATTTGAAGGAGACTAGGGGGGTGGATAGGATTGATATCTTGTCGGTGCATGCGATTTAAGGAGGATCGAGATTCTTCTAATCTTTCAACATCAAAACTAATGCATAAATTTTCAGACGGTTGTTATAGATCCCAACAAAAACAGAGCCATAAAATTATAGTTTATTTTTAGTGTTTTGGATTGCAATAATCAATGGGTCAATTACTAGCACAATCTATAGTGTCATAATATTGTTAAAAATATATATATATATTAAGGCGGTATGATTTGTAATTCTGAAAATAAGAATTTAAAAAATAAAAAATTATTTTTAGAAGATAATAAAAGACAGTTAACTGAAAATATATCTTTTTAAGACTGAATTTTCAAAAAACTGAACTAAATAGAATTTTTGTATAATTTTATGTTTTTAATTTTTTTAAAATAAAAAATTATTCTCAAAACTACAAACCAAACATACTCTAAAATATTTGATTTGATTGATTCAATTCTTTCTTTAAAATAGGTCTTTGAAAAAATGAAAAATACTGTAAAAAAATAACTATAATAAATAAACAGAAAAAAAAAAAAAATCAATCTCAAATATAGTGAGGATTACCATTACTCTATTTTTTTTTTCCCTTAATAATTTAAACAGGAAGCAAAGTTAACATCACTTTGCTTGTACTTCTTTTCTCAACCAATGCTTTATGGCTGTTCTCTCCTTCATCTTTTATGAACAATTGACTTTGATAAGGACCTGAGAACTAAGATTGAATAGTTAGTCTTCGTTCTTAAAAGAGATTTAATAAGTATCATCACCCTGATATTGAATACTTATTACATTAATATTTTACTTTTTTTTTTTTTTTTTTTTTTTTTTTTTTTTTTTTTTTTTTTACGGCGAGCTGAGCGCTATACCGAGTCACTAACCATTGCTGACTCAATAATAGATTATTTTATTTTATTTTTATTTTACGATTGATTGGTTGAGGGACTCTTGGAATTGGAGTTTCAACCAATGCCTGGCTCTACTTTTGTAGTGCAGTGAATCGGAATCCATGGGTCAAACATGCACAATGGTAAAAGTTTGACGATATTCCACCTGTCGGTGTGCTCAGTGCTGGCTAAAACCGCGTCAATAATTAAACCGAATTTTCTCTCTCTTGAGACCTTTGCTAAGCTTTTTTTAATTATTATTCTCCCTTTCCTTTCACTTCCCACCACTACTTTACTTAGTTCTGACACCACTATCGAATGAAAAACCTTCCATTCCACCTCCAATCTCATTATTTTTAGTACTTGTTAGAGGGACTTTTTCTCTGGTAAATGCTCAAATTAAGAATTTCAATTCAAATTTTCCGATACCTTTCTTCCAATTCCGTGTTTCAATTAGGGCTCTGGTGTTGAAGGATCTGTGTTGTTGTTGTTGTGTGTGTGTATATATATATATAAATATATAGTGTACATATATATATTTAGAGAGAGAGTGTTAATTGGAAGAAAATGTCGTCGAGTTCAAGTAGTAGCAGTAGAGGTTCGTCGTCTCCGACATCGCCGTCGTCTTCAAAGAGTGGAGATGGTGTGAACTATATTAGCATACAACACCAGGTATCCAAAATGGACACTCTTGCCGGTGTTGCAATCAAGTATGGTGTTGAGGTATTTTTCACATACCTTATTATATATATTGAAATTGATTTTTTTGTTGCTTTAAATATTACTATTGATTTCGTTGATATTGCTGCTTTGAAAATGGTAACATTTCAATTATGTGTAATTTTGGGATTAAATGATTTCATCTTCTTTTGGGATAGTTTTCTATTGCGATCTTCCTTTTCTTTTTCTTGATCTGTCCATGTTATATATATATATATATATATATAATGATATGCATGTTTTATTCCCAATTCAATCGCAGTTAGATGTTTAGTTGTTTTTATTTTTCATTATTGGATTGCTAGTTTTTCAAACAAGAACAGTATCTAATAGTAGACACATATATATTCTGGCTAACTAGGGGAGGAGGACTTGAACACGGGCACAACTGCTCGGGGAACTGGGCGCTCAACCAACCCCCAATATTACACATATTAACTAACCTACTATTAGGGTGATTTAGGCACCAACTTATTAACTAAAAATAAAAATGGAAAAGATAGAACAAAATAAAAAATTGAAAAATTAAAATTAAAATGTGGTTGCTTGAGGCAATCCTTAAAGATTACCATTAAGAAAACTCAAGCAAGAGTTACTATATCTACGTGAATCATGCCCTCCTAATCTCTGGGTTTGAAGGAATTATTCTATATATACATAGTAACATGTAATACAGAGTCACTCTTTTTTAGCATTTTTAGGTAGAGCCTTTATGTGGAAAGAAATGTATTCTTGCTGCAAATGAGTATCATGTGTGTGAACTTTGAAATTTTCAAATTATTATATAGCTAATGATTTATTTTTAATAGGTTTTGAGATATACAGGGTAAGGGAGTAACATATAACATATAATACTGGGCTTGGACACATCTTTACTAAACGGTCACACTAGTATCTTCTTACTGCATTGCTACACTGGTCAAGCTCCTCACTTAATGTGGTGGGAGTATGTACATGCACATGCGTGCGCGTGTTGAGACTTGAGAGAGAGATGCATAATATCTTGCTGTGATATGATTGTTTCAATGTATGATATGGTTGTGTTAATGTATGAATGCCTCTAGAAAGTTGTGATTCATCACAGTCACGTCAGACAACACCGTGGTTAATTGGAGTCAACAGATGTATGAAAAACACATGCACAAGTACATCAATTGGCATCATATGTGCTATTGATTACCTTTTCTTCTTGTACCTTATTCCATTAATTTTTGAACTGATACAATGCATCTTATCATTAGATGATAATATGATGCTGATTGTTCAATTAAAATTGCAAGAAGATTAAGCATGACATTTGGTGCCTTCTTGGAAAATGCTTGCATGTCTTATGATCTGATGATAAAGATTGCCTTTCCTTACTTTATTAAAAAAAAAAAATTGTACTCTTAACAGGTTGCCGACATTAAAAGGATGAATAAATTAGTAACAGATCTCCAAATGTTTGCTTTGAAGTCATTGAAGATACCATTGCCTGGAAAGCGGCCTCCGCCTCCCTGTTTGTCTATTGGTTCTGCTTCTCCAAGGTATACTATCTCATAATTTTTCTTAAACTACACTTGTTATTCTTTTTATCTATTTACGTCCATATTCCCTCCATGTACTCTTGGAAGAATGTTCTGCATAAAATGTAAACATTAGCATTTACTTATTGTCATACCAACTATTGACAATAATTTTGATAAACACTCGTCTAAAGAATCCCAGATCCTAAAAATGGTCTCTCTGCTCACGCACACTAGTCCAAGTGTACTAAGGGATTTGTGCAAAATAGTGTAGCTATTGCAACTTATTGTTTTGGAACAGAGTAAAACTTCTTTTTCTTTCACCATTTGGTATGTTTTGAGGGCGAGCTGCTTAATGACACATGTTGTGTTGCTTCTGGTTATAGCACAGGCCAATTTGAATGGATTTATGAACATGATTTAGTGGTTCTTTCACGCCGACTTTCATAAATCCAGAAGCACGATTTTTTTTAATTGTGCCTCCATGTCAAAAAGTTGGTTAATTGAACCATCTTAGACAACTTTTCCCATGATGAAGCACGAATAGTGTTGGTGCGCAAATTATCTAATTTTCACTGGAGGAACTGTTGGAAGTTGGTGCATGCGGTGGATATCGAATTATATCACAATTTATTTATTTATTTATTTTTGTTGTTGTGATTCCTACCACTGAAGCTTGAAAGATTCCTCCAATTGCTAACTCAAATCAAACTTTAATGTTTGGTCTCTTATAAAATCCTGGTCCAACTGGTTCCAGAAGAATCTTTTGTGACCATAAATTTCCCATCATTTTCATGTGTTTCCCTTATGATAGGGGTGTTGTGAATAGAGCAAAGAGGGTTGCTCCTTTGGTGGATCTCAGTCATGCCGAAGGTCTAGGCCTTCACCTCTTAGCCAAAGAAGGCTTTTCTAAAGCAAGAGAGTTGGATTAATTGGCATTGGATGATAAAGATCTTGACTTGGCAAAAGAACGGTTGAGGATTTTTAGGGCTAGGAAAAAGAAAAAATTGGGGAAAAGAAATGCAATTGAGGGATTTCATAATTTTGTATAAAGGAATGAGATGAGAGAAGTAGCTTTCCCTCTCCTGACGACTCTCATTTTTCCACATTTATCTTTTTCTCTCTTCTTTGCACATTTGTCGCCTCCTTTTTTCTTTCCACACAAGTAATGATCTGTGAAATACACATACACCTCCTAGTTTTAGGAGAGGCAGTGGCTTATATTTTTGAACATATTGCAGAAAAAGCAGCAATGAGAAAACATCACAGCATCTAGGCTGCTCTGATAAGTTGGAATCATTCCAAACCCGGAAATTGAAGTCACAGCAGCAGAAAGTTTCTCCAGCCATGGGGACTTTACAGAACTATTATGGTCTCAAATCTCCCACTCCGAAGGGTGCAGCTGAGGGAACAGAGATGGCAGTTTATCGCTCAGGGAACTCTCATTGCTTTGATGATAGGTTGATACCTAAAATTTCACCATTTTGTAATCCACCTTTAGACCACCACAAATCCAGCAGCTTAACCAATGGTTTCTTGCCGGATAATGGTGCGGCATCCGAGGATGTTGCTGTTGCACAGATTGGAGATGAGGAGGGTGAGAGATCGAATGAGAAGTCTGTCCGAAGGCGTCAGAAAACTGAAACTGATTCTGGGACTAGCACAACAGAATGGTTATTGAAAGAAGAAAACATCGACAACGGCAGTTCTCAAGCAACAACTGGAAATAATTCAGCCCAGAGAACCACTTCAGGAAGCCGAACTGCAATGGTTGCTGATGGTGAGCCTGGATGGTTGAATTCTATCATTGTGGGCCTGGGAGATTCTATAATGGCTGACGGGCTTGCTGGAATCCGTAAATCATCAAGCACATTAAGTGTACAAGACCAGGACAACAAAACTTCATCTATTTGGCCAACGTTCAATTGGAGATTCAAACCAGACCTACAGGTTTTCTCAACTGCATCCATTAACAAACCAATTTTTGATGGCCTGCCAAAGCCAATAATTGGCCGCAGGAGCAAATCTGCTCTTGATTAGCACAATTAATTTGTATATTCATGGAAACCAATGTGTTTTTCACCTTTGATTTATTCACGGAATGAGATTTTGCGGCCGGACATCACACTGCAAGTGCAAATAGCAGGCAGGTTGAAGTATATATCTGGCAACATGGAGAGGGGAAAATGTTCATCTTCATTCTTCTCTCGGATGATATTCTATATGAAAATGAGGTTATTTTATCAAATTTGAAGCAGCGGCAGCTAAAATAAACTCAGATGAAGAGTATGCAACAACAAAAATTTCTGGTTTCTCTGAACATTTCTTGATTGTCTTTTTATTTTGTTTGTTATAGTAGCATATACTGTGATGGGTGATTTCAAATCTATACCAGCAATCTTAATTGTGTATATTTGAATCAAGAAATGTGAACAAGTTGTCTTTCTTCTTTAAGTAAGAAATCCCTCCAAATATATTGCACAATGTCATGCATGTCTGTAATGATTTAGCCTCTTTTCCGACTTTAGAGTACGGCCTTTCTATAATCTTTGTCATTTCAGCGCTCTTTCTGACCTAGAAATTGACCTATTTTCTTGCTTTGGACCGTCATTCTAGCCTTCGTAGTGTCTTCGACAAGGAAAATGGACCAAACAAATCCCCGGATCCTCGATGATTTTGAAGTGCATCCGGGGAAGATATTCACATGGAAACGCTCAACGGTTGACTGCTTGCCTAAACCAAGCAAGAAAATAAGGAAAAATCTTCTTGCCGCCAGTAGTAATTTATGTTGATTGTTGGTTGAGAAACCCTAATGTGGAGTTGTCCTGTTTCTGTGATCTTGAAAGACAACTGCAGCAATATGAATTATGTTGTTTGGGACTGTGCTTTCATTTTAATGACATTGCACGTGACTAACTCTTCTAGTTTGTTGAATACAATTATAAATTGGAAAGGCGGCCCTTGTTACTTTTGGATGCCAGTCTGAGGACCATATATGCCACCAATGGCACACAATGGTCCCTGAGTAGGAGGTTGATTGGACCCTGGCCATGAACAATGATTGTTGAAATAGATGGCAGCAAGAATGAATAGCCAATTCAAAACCCCACGAAAACAAAGGGAACATCGCGACGAAGATTCATATAACTAAATCCTCACGGGAGACTTTGAAATAAAAGAAAAAAAAATTCAAACCAAAAATTCATTTCATAAAAGAAAAAAAAAAAAAAAACATTAAAAAAAGAAATTTTCTTATGGATTGGAACTTACTCAGAAATTGCTGAGAGATCGAGACAGAGGAGAGACAGCCTGAAGAGAAGCCTAGGGCTTCAACTTTGTAATCTCAGATGAGATAATGCGAAAGAGAGACGGGTTAGCAAACATCAATCCCAAGAATATTCTAAGTGTTGAAAAAAAGACGTTTCAGAAAGTAATCGAAGAAATTTGGCTAAGGAGTTCTAAGAAATTTTAAAATATAGTATAGTCAAGGCTATCTGGATATTTTAGTGGGTGAAGAAAACCCACTCAAAAATCAGGTTCTCGTAACAGCTGATTTGATACATCTTTAGTCTCTGCCTAATAACATCCACTGTCAACTATCACCCAGCGTTCGATAGATATTCAAAACCCTAGCCTTCGCTAGAAGCTTTTGCCTTACATGCTCATTTTAACACCTTAGTGTTCACCGGTGTAGCATGTTTCCTTGATAGAATATTCATAATCCCAACTACGTTTTGCTAACCCAATGACAAAAAGTCAAAAAGGATTCTAGAAAACCTGCACATAGCATTTTACTTAATGCGTTCATAGATGTTCTGAAGCTCAACATCAATTAAAACCCAATAAACATGGAGTAATAAACTTAGCCTAAAAATAGCTGCAGCACAAAGAATCATTGAACCTGCAATTTTTTACTTCAAACAAACCAAATTCCGACTTCTGAGTACCTTAGAGAGAGATTTTCAGAATTTGCAATAATGGGAAAAATCTAACAAATTTAACTCTCAATAAAATACCAAAGTAAGGCTCCAAATATATCAAGTTTAACTGTTTAACCAAAAGGCGTTAGAAACCCTTTGTACATATATATATATAAATTTTTTTTCAAAAGACTTGGATAAATATTAGGCAAGGAGGCAATATAAAATTTTCAACATAAAGGATTCCAGCAAATAAATAGAAGCCTCGAATGTTAAAAACACAAACTCAATGGCAAAATGTGTATATCACTAAATAGTTCTTAAGACAAAAGAAGCTCTCAAAATTCATCAACCATGTTCCTTCTGTCCTACATAAAAGGGAGGGGGGGTTATGTTAATCACCACCTATTATTTGGTGGTTTGACTTTGTAAATCCGAACTATCCAGTTGGATGTTGTGAATGCTTCTTCCAGGTATTCAAGCTTTATGTCCTTATTTCCTATTTCAACTCCCCTCGCTCGATCATACCTGCCATAAAAAAAAGCCATTACAAGACATTAGCGATGAATTTTAGGCGTCATGAAAGTATAACAATGCCTCCATTGCAAACCAATCTGAAACAGACGTCTACAAAACAGAAATCAGAGTATATAAAATGTAACTCAAAGGTAAATTTGAAAGAGACATAAGAGTTTGTTATCATATTACTTCTAACATTGGCAATGATCCTGTTGAAAGATGAATTTATGTTTCTAAGTTTTCATTAGCACAAGTCTAGGTCAGGGTGTAAATTGTAGCCGTACAATAACCTTGACATGATTCATGAGTGGAGCAAATACTCATGAACAGGAGTTCAAGACTGGAATTCAACATAAAGTCAAAAGAGTGTTTCTTCCATCACCCTTAGCAGGTGAATCATCATATGTCAATACAAAAAACGAAAATCTTTTCCCACACATAATATATAATCATTGTATTGGATTTAGTTAGTACTTGATGCCAGTACCAATTTTCATTATCAATACCATCATGTGATGTCAGGAACTGATATTGCCAGAGCAATACTTGATACTTCGTGAGAAATTTATGATAATATATTGCAAATAGACACCTCCCAATCATATGGTACAAAAGGCAGGGATGATGATGATGATGATCACAAATAGACAAGGAACACATATACACACAAACACAAAAAAAAATATTAAAAACCAGAAAGAAAGGTAGAGGTTATACTTACCCAGGAGGTCTGCCATATTCTGTTGTTAGCTCCCCAAACCGATAGTAAGACAGCTTGTACCTAATCACCAAATAGAAAATATATAACTTCCCATTCACTAAATGCAACAAAAATACGTAACCCAATCAGATACACATCTCAAAAGGTGGGAGCCTTTCCTATACTATTAAATTTCTGACAACCTTGAAATGATAAACTTGAGCAAATTATTCTCAAAGAATGAATCAATCATTGCTCTTTAATTCAACACTAATCTAAGAATTGAGGTACATGTTAAAACTGAAACATGAGATTTGCGAAATCAACAAAAGGAAACATAGATTTTAACTCTTTATGTAGGTTAATTTTCTGAAAGATATATAACAAACCCAAGATGGACGATCATACAAGTACCCCCCACTGCCTTTTTTTTACTGTGTTTTTTTTTTTTTTTTTGGTGGGGGGCGGGGGGTTGGTGAACGGGGAAGTGTGCCAAGAAACTCTGTTACATGGACTCTCCTATTTACCTTTACGAACCCATGTCGACACAACATGACATGGGCATGAATATAGGGCATGTGTCCGACAACAAATCCAAATCAGACACCCTGATCCTGCACATGGCATGCTGAAGAAAAATAAAAAACTAAAATTTAATCTATGAGATAGATGCAAACCTTTTCTTTTTACCAATTTGAGTAATAATTAAATATATTCTTACAAATAACAACAATAAATATTATACTATAATGAAAACATATAATGTATTTAAATGCACAGTATGTGTCTACGTACCCATATCCAACTTTTGGACACCTATCCCAGAATCTTAAGATTTGGATTTGAAGAGATCAGATAATAAGATACCCACCAGCACCTGATACACTTTCCCAAGTCCAGGTAACATAGCCTTGGAACATCCTACGGTTTATACAATGGGAACTTTCTAACTTGAGTGTAATACAATATCTGTTACATCTTAGCTTTAGCCATGGATCCTACACCTTAATATGATTAGGTCAGTATCAAGTCCACCCCTTCAAACAACGTAGATTAACAGGACTGCACTGGGTAATGAGCCTTTATATGAATAATACAACATATGCATTTTACTAAACGAGAAACACCATTATGGAAAGAACTAGGATCACATAAAGAGCAGCACAAATAAATGACCCTCGACATAGAAGAATTAAAGACCAATGCTATAATTTGGTAATTTATGCTTCAAAATGATGGGATAACACATGCTTCACTTTAACATAGTTGATAAATGTTGAAGCTTATTGACAAAAGCGAAAAGTTACTACAACAGAACTAATAGAAAGCAAAATCAACTCAGTAGCGAAGCAACTTACATTAGGCAATTCAACATCTTGGGAGCAGCACCTTTGTCAACACGGTATTCACCATTAACAAGGTAATCAGGTTCCTTAATGATAGGGAAAACACCACCTCCGATTCTCACCATCCACAAAAATCTAGTATAAAATTAACTGTTAGTACAGAAAAAGATAAGCCTAGCATGCTAAATATGATGATCCACAACTAGTTAATATACCAGACAAATATTTAACGATTTGGATAACAGAAGCAATACGTGATAGATATACATATAAGCATTGAACTAGAATCATTAAGAAAATATTTTGTATATATATCACATAGACCACTCACTCACCCCTATTAAGTGGCCCCCTGGATAAATACATTAATGAATAATGATCACAACAACAAGAATAATATTATTATTAATCATTGATATATATTTAATAAGCATCTCAACCAAGAAGTAGTCTTGGAAAGTTTTGATCTTCTTGAGAAAACTTTGTACCAAAATCATATAGGTGGCATTAGAATTGTCAAGACTTCAAATATATGCTATGTTATATGATACTTTGCAAGAGCAAAAACCATACTATTCCTTAGATTGATATAAAACCACTTCACTATACCAGTATACCCAATCATAAGGGAGACAGAGAAGGAATTGGTGAAAGAAATACTATTTAAATGACTAACTTTTGCATCTACAACTGAATAATCTACTTCTAAATTAAATTGAAAAATAAAAATAACTGTTCAGTGTTCCAAAATATTATAAATGAAGGCATTGTAAATAATATAGCACTATATATGTCTTCTTCTTTTTTTCTAAATAAATATAGCACTATATCAGATGACCGACAATGTAATTGCTTTCAGCAAAGCCTTACTTGTTAATATCATCAGAAGAATAACCAGTGACGCCTCCAAATACAACTAATACATAATCCACATCCAGTGATCTCATTATCTCATATGCTTCATCTTCATACGATGACATTGCACGTCCAACAGTGGCAATATGCGTATTGTTCCAGGTGTTATTGTCTACAATCACAGTTCTGTTTCCCATGGCAGTGATCTGGTACCCATAATCCCACCATGACATCACCTTAGCATTTGGAGGAGTATTCTGCCGAAGCCAAAAGTATGCTTCACGGTAATCATCAAAAATCACTCTGTTGCCATGGGCACCTCTTGCAGCCAATACAATTGAGGGGGATGAGTATGCCTCCGAGGTGACCCAGGTACAATGGATAGCATATCTACTCAGCAAGTAAAAAGCACCAAGAAGCAATGCAGTAGCACCATTTTTTTGGAAAGGCAGAGATTGATCAAATGAAGCCTGTTTGTGCAACAAATACGAGTGAGAACTCTACATTTCTCACGAATAACCATCAATTATGTATTGAACTGAAAATTAATAGGATCGTGTTGACAAGCACATAACACATTGACCTTATCGTGCTATACAAAGCAAGGTTCCAATGGAGGATTATCAACTTAAGGCACCTATGGAGTTGCATAACATCATGAACACTTATAAAGTTCCATATGTCTACACGAGGTAACTACATTGGCAATTCCGTTATTCTTTTACATAATCAGATTTTAAGGATTTATTATTTTTTATTTTTTTTAATAGAACTGGGCATTAAAATGAATGATGTACTAATTATGACACAGTCAGCAACTAAAGGACTATGTTTCAGGGTACAACTCATTAGCCATGCAAGAGCATCGGTAAGTTACTCTGAAATGTAAACAGTTTGATCTCCATTACACGGCCATGGAACTTGAAATTCAAGTCAAATAAGAACAAACAAGATGTTCTGGCAAAGTAATGCAAAAGGAAATTTTTTTATATAAAGATAATCTGTCAAAGCCATGATATTGACCTTTGGAGTCTTGTAATCCTAAATTGAAGGTAACCAGAACCAATATGAGTTAGCTGGCGACCACTCATTGGAACATAAATAAGAATATTCAATTGAATGTATTCCACAACTAATTGATGCACGGAGAACATGTCAATTCTGGTGCAAGATATCCAAGTTTGCATTTTCCTCGGTAAAAAAAAAAAAAATTCGCGGAAAATTTATTTCATTACGGCTTCTGTCTTATTTTAATGGATATTTTATAGCAAAATTTTTGGAATTTAGGATAAATTCTATATATATATATATATATATATATATATATTCTCAGAAACATACTTTTCCAGGAATAAGATTTTCTTGAGACAAATGGAGTCATTTAACAAACTACCAGACATCTGGGTCTTTAGAATCACAATGCTTATTATCTTACTACTTCACCCATCAAGAAAAGAATGCAGCTATAAAAGCCGGACATCAAGAAATTCCCAGTGAAATTCTTGCAAAGGATTACCAAGCAACTCGATTTCCTTTTACAAGTCCAGCAATTTCTTTGTGAAAGCTGTTGCCACTTGGCAGTAGTAACACAGAAATAAATATATACTACCTTTTTTTTTTTTTTTTTGATAAGTATAAATATATACTACCCTGGTAATCAAGATTCCTAAAACTAGTAGAACTTTATATTAAAAAAAGGAGACATCCAACGCAGAAATGGTGTGAGTATAGTAATAGGAACCTCACCTTAGAAGAAGCCTTTGAACTAGTAGTTCCTTTACCAGAAGCAGTAACAGGAACCTTGTTTTTTGCCCTCACCAACTGAGTTAAATTCTTTATAGTAGCAGACACTGCAATAGCACTAATTAGGCACATTGCAGGTGTAGCAACAAGAATAAGCCGAACCATTACCCCGGCGAAATACATGCTCGTGAGACCATACATAACTATAAATATTGTGGCATCTGACAACCGCTTGAAGCAGAAATATAGACCCGCAGGGAAAAGGAAAAGCAGGATATGGAAATCAAACATGAAAGATGACCATGCTGTTGGCTGATGCTCAGAGACTGATGCAATTATGGGGATGTGATCTTTTGCATAAGTCGGATCCAGCAAAGAGTAAAATCGACCAGTCCATGGGGAGATGTATCCAGATGCCGTGCCAAGTCCAAGAGCAATACCACCCACACCAACCGCACAGGTCACAGTGATCCTCAAAAAGGCTTGAAACAACTTTTCATCATTTAACATGTGCTTAACCCAACCTAAGAAGTAAAATACCTGCATGGAGTTGAAGTTAGTGTTGGAGGGAGTCATATGCCTAATCAGCAGGAAAAGATTATCTCCAAAGATCAATTCTTGAGAGAACAAATAAGTAATTGAAAGAAGAAAATCAAATACTGGATAACTATAGGGTCAATTTCATTCTCTTAAATAACCAAAAGAAAAAAAAAAAAAAAAAACTAAATAGGTACTCTAAGATATAATTGTAGGGAGTCATATGCCTCATCAGGAGGCAAAAGCAACAATTTACTTTTATGATGTAAAGTCCCCATGATCTTATATCATGCAGTGAGGAAACAAGAATGAAAACCCCAATGGCAATAACTCGTGGATAGAGAGATTCTAAAACAGTTTTTTTTTTTCATCCCCAATTATATCTCTGGTATTTAAGACTCGATGCGTGATGGAAATTCATTCTGAGAACAATGAGCTGGTCCTCGCAGAAGCACAGCCCGACATCCCCACTGAGAACAATGATCTGGTCACCTAAGTCACACAATCCTTCTGAAGGGGTTTTGCTCTAACGCTCCACGCGTGAATTGGAGCTCTGAGAGCAAATCCTTCCACAATTTGCAAATTCAATTTTGTCAATCCCCCCGAATTCAATTTGGGGAGTCTCGAATTCACAACGATTTCGCATGCAACATTTATTATGTTGGCAATTACCAAAATGTACCTAATAAGGCTAATATTGAATAAAAACGGTAATAAATGTGCAAAACTAAGAATAAACCTAGAATATTAAAGAAGAAGAACAAATCCTTGCAATATTGACGTCCGCTATATATTGATCACTTTTGTTTGGATATTTAAGTCTAAAAACATTAAATGTGTGTGTACAGCTATAGACACATAGATATTTACAAACAAATTATATAGAAACTTTTTTATTTTACCTTATTTAGTTAAAAAGTTGATCATTTTATAATTCTTTAAAGCATTCATTTCATGTATGAAATTTAAACAATATATCTTCAAGAAATTAGAATAAATATACATATTTCTCATGTTGCATTTCTTTAAAATAAAAATTATAACTATTACTAATATTATGTATCTCCTAACATAAAAGAAATAAGGTTACTTGTAGCTCAAACACAATTTCTAGTGCTTATGAAATTACATTTTTATTATTCCACAAAGTATATAATGCCATTTAGCATACGTACAAATATTGAAAATATATTTTATACACAAAATAAGTGTACAAACGCTCTCGGGGTGCTACTCTGACAATTTTATTTTAGATTTTACAGCGCTCGGTGTGAATTAGGAATTAACCAATTATAGTCTATTTAAAAGAACTTAGAGAGAATTGTTCACATCTTCTTCTTGTCACCATGACAAATTCAATGGCAAGGCGAGTTATACATAAGATAATATAGATTACAAGCACTTGCAAGTAAGCTTGTCAAGCACAACAACATGTAAATACTTTCATGAAAGCTATATTCAGCGACACAAATTGATACCTGCATCAAGAAAAACACGCCCATTGATGCCATATGTTCACCTGACTGCACATGCTGAAAACCCACAAATCGAATCTGCATAGCAAGCAACATTCCCAGAATGTACATGCAATTATACGCAACATACAACCTCATAGAATACCTCCCAGTGACCAAAAGTACCAGCACATAAAGTGGTATCAAATTAATTATAAAGACATAGCCACCCCAAGCCGAGACCATATAGAAATACCCAAAAGCTGAAGCCAAAGCCCAAGCAAGAGAACCAGTATTCACTGCCTTAACGAACAAATAGAAAGTAAGTAACAGAGCAAAAATGGCAACACCCTCATTATCGTAAGACCCCGCCACCGACCTCGAGATATAACCGGGGCAAATGGCGATCAACACAGCAGCAACTAGCCCGGCACCGGAATCCCACAACTCTTTCCCAAAGAAGTAGGCCACGAGAGTGGTGTTGGAGGCAAAAAAGGGCGCCGTCAGGACGCAGACCTCGCGAATGTGGACGGCGAACCGGAGGAACCGCAGCGCCCAGTAGATGATAGCTGCGGTGACCATGAGACCAGGGTAGAGAGTGCCACCAATGATTCGACCCAGTGGGTACCAACTCTCTGAGTCGAACCAGTTCCAGAACTCGTAGAAACCATTCCGAGTCAAATAGAGTGTGGTTCGGTAATTGAAGTAGGGATCGAATTCGTGAATCATGCTCTCGTATCGGAGGACACTGAAGAGGCGAGTGATGAAGGCCAAGATGTAGACTAGACCGAGAATGGTGACTCGGATCAGGAGTTCTTGCTGCTTGGTTTTCAGTTTTAGGGTTTTGAGAGAGAAGGTGGACGATAACAGATCTGGCTTCGAGCTGGGTGGTGTTGCTGCCGTGGCCGGCGATTTTACACCGCCGTTCGCGGCGTCGACCTTGCTCACCATGGTTGATTGATTGATTAAACTACGGATCGGGAGGAGGTTTGTTTAGGGTTCAGATTTGTAAATCTTCCATGAAAAATTGAACAGAAAGTGAAGGAAGTTCTTGAGTACTAGGGTTTCGAATCGGATCTGAATCCAACGTTAATGACTTTGCAGAAGATCCAAATGCGGATTTTTCACAACAAATGAGAATCAGAATGCAAAGTGAATTTACATTGAACAGATAAAATGGAACACTAAAAATACTAGGTACTTCAGTCATAGGCGTCGTAATTTATTTATTTATGTTGTTATATATATATATATATATATTACACCAATGGATTAAAAACATATAATTATAAGCCCCTCCATTGTGAGAGATTTTGCATATAATTAATACTAATTATACATACACCAAAGTGATTAAAAATATATAAATATAAGCACCTCTCTTGTAAGAGATTTTGCATATAATTAATAAATTTAATATCAATTTTCATAATAAAATTGTAGAACCTCTCCTAATAATTAAAAATTGTATTGATCATTTTTGTTAAACGACATTAAAAAAAAATTGTGAAGGTCAAAACTAGTATTTTTTTACTTTAATATTTTTGGTAAATTAGATATAAATTATAAAAGTATTAATTTTATGAAGGTTAATGTAACTTCTGAATTAACATATGGAGTAGAAGATACTCTTAGTGGGTGTAATTTAGCTTGGGAAAAAAAATGTGTGCATAAAATATTATTATTCCAAATACTTTACCATTGAGTATTATTCTAAAATATAATGCGAGTGATTTTTTCATTTAATTATAGTTTATTTACAATTTCATCTATTTATACACATTTGCACATAGGCCTGGCATTTGCTCAAACTCAATTTGTGAATTGTGATCCAACGGAGACACTGAAAAGGGAGATTGATTTGTCTCTTCATTGCAGGATGGAAGATGAATATTGTTTTTGGTTGTGTTGAAATAATTATATACATACACATCTAGAAGTAAAACCAGTAATTCTAGTGTGGAATTATATATTTTTTGACTTGGGATTGAGTTAGATCACGGATGTGGGTCAGATTTTGATTTTGAAAAATAAAATAAAAATTTGAGATTTTATTTACATTCTATTTTACTACTATATGATTATCTTGTTACACTCTTGATTTGTCGACAAAATCATTGAATTTTAAATTGTGGGCCATGAAATTGGGATTATAAGAATTTTGGATAAAATGAAATCAGGAATAGCCAATCTAATGTGGTTAACATCTTATATGTTGGCCTACGTTTGGACCCAACCAGTGTAGCCAACACCTCTAATTCCTTTTAAGAATCCTCCATAAGTAATTAATTACCTTTCGAAAAAAAAAATCCTCCATAAGTAATTAATTACCTTTCGAAAAAAAAAAAGATCCTCCATAAGTAATTAATTTATCTAGAAATTAATTGTGGTACTTAGGCGGAGAGAGTTGAGTAGAATTTTTTGTCGCGACTTTGATTATCGGTTATTTTGCAAAATATAAAGAATTAGAAAAGTTTTACTTATATCTTACATACATAATTAATTAAAAGTTAAAGAGTACGAGTATTTTTATGGCAGCAACTTACCTGTATCGGATGCATGTTGAATGTCAATACTTCACGGACATTTGTGGATATATGTTCAATACTTTTTAAAGGTATTTATAATTTTAAAATATATTTTTTAATTTCTAACACGTATCCGATATTTCTTAGGCATTTTGACTGCGTATCCAATGCTTCTTATACACTTAAAAAAAGTTCAAATTTAATTAAATATTGATTACGTATGCTTGTTTTATTTGTTGTGAAACGAACTTCTATATTATATTAATGATTGTATTTAGATTCATGATATTTTTTTTTAAAAAAATGATAAAAAATTAATTTTATATATATATAAATTATTAATTTTTTTATTGTCCATATTCGTATCCTTTTTTTTTTATTTATTTATATATTTATCATATCATCGTAGTCATATTCGTATTGTGTTGTATTCGTGCTTTCTAAACTTTTCAACTTTAAAAACTTTTTCCATCGTGGAATTATATGGTGGCAATGAGAGTGTTGGTTGCAACCATTCTCTTTGCTCAAAAAATAAAATAAAATAAAATAAAATAAAATTGTTGAATTGTTTTCGCTAAACTAGGTTGAGTTTATGTATATTTTGTGTCAAGAGTCATATGCCCATTTCTTTATTTTTCTTTGTCCGCAATATAAGCAAGTGATTGGTCCATATTTTAAAAGGTTTATAGACATACAGATAATGGACTTGGGGATAGCTACATTTGGATTGAATCCGAAATAAGAAGAGAGAAAATTTACATGGTAGTATATTTTTCAAACATATGAATATGATGATGACCAAGTCTTTGAGTACATTAATTTATTAAGCCAGACTTTGGCCAGAGAGGCTAATTAAAAACCTAATCAACCTTTCTTAGGCGTAAGAAAATCATCAACCCTGACATTTGTTTTTCTAGACAGAAACTTCATGCAAATAGGAGGTTTTACACCAGCAAGAGCAAGTATGGCATTAGGCAATGTCCATATCCCATCCCCACAAATCAAACCAGAAGCCACGGCAGGTCCAAAAGCATCTGCTTTAGCCCTGTTTATCTTTTGCCACACAAATAGTATCAAACTCCCAACACACATGTCAATGGCAAAGTATGATCCCAGATAAAATGGTATCGCCATTGCCATTGGAACCGGAATAAACCACGCTCTCTTCTTCCCCAGACCATCCCTCACCAAGTTTATGAAAATGGCGGCGCCAAAGAACACATAACAAAGAGTGAGACAATTTGTGGGTAATGTGTTGACACCCTCAACCCCCAATTTGGCCATGTTTCGGTACACTAGAGCAAAAGGTGCAGGATATTCACTGGTAGTGAGTCCCATGTCAGGGAAGGCCTTGTAGAATATCCAAAAGACACAAGGCGAAATCACACACCCCATTGCAGTGCCAATCACTTGGCTAACAAACATGGACCGCGGTGAGGCCAAGGTCATGTACCCTGTCTTGAAGTCCTGCATCAAGTCAGAGGCTGTCGACACAATATTCATCATGACACCACAGGCTGCCAGGCCCGCGAGAACTCCACCATGTGAGGCACCAGCCCACGCCCCAATCGTGAAGATGGCAAGCTTGCCATAGGTGGACGCGAGGGACCAATCAGTGAGCCCACAGCCATATGCATTGCAAAAAGCCAAAGCAGGCGCGAAGATGTAGAGAACCAGTATGTAGTACCATTTGAGCTGGTGGAATATGTGAGGAAGTGTAGCAGTTGAGATAGCAGCGATTGCAACGTATCCTCCCATGGCAAACCATGTTGGGATTTGATCTTTGAGGAAGAGTTTGGTTCGTCGCTGGTTGTCATAAGACAGACGAGGGCTCTCAGAAGGTTGAGAGTCAGCAAAAAGGGGACCGGTGTTGGAATATTTTTGACGGAGTTGGTAAAACAAGGCCAAGAGAGTTCGGGTCAGCACCTTGAAGAAGTTGTACAAGCCATCACCAAGAATCACAGCTATGGCGATGAAAATCTGTGTATGTCAAGTTCAAATTAAGCTTTAAAAAGAGGGACAAAGTTGAAACCTCCATGAAGCACATATTCAAGAACACGATTAACAGAAACTATATATATATATATATATATGTGTCCAATACCTTATAACCTTGAAGGCCATGTAGGCTGGTTAGGGGAAGATCTGCAGAGTACCAATCACCCCTTCTAGCTTCTATAAGAGGCCACATGATTCCCCAAGAAAGAATTCCTCCAACCAGCAATGATACATTTATGATATGGGGACAGATCATCCCAACTCCAATATAAGTGGCCGAAAAATCGAAGTAGAACCTGTACTTTTGAAATACACAAATTAATTGCTTGAACAACTTTGGAACACTCAAAACTCCTCTCAGGAGAGGAGAGATCGTACCATCTGGACTAATGCCCGTTGGTATTGATCTTTTGGCATTATTTAGCCTCCCTCAGGTGAATTTCAAATCGGCCAGTTGTGTTTACAATGATCATACTGGAAAATATTAGTTCAAACCAGCCCTGATTATTGGAAATGACATTCATATTTTTTACATCTATAGATTTGTTTAGATATATACTGAAATAAAACATGAGAAAGAGAGTCAAACGTGTACTTGTATTTATATGCTTTGAGTCCAAATGTAGGGAAGTTTGTGAATCCACAATCATCTCCGGCGGTGAAGAACCATTGGAAGAAACCCCATAAGAAACTGAAGGAGAAGAATTTGCCCAATTCTCTCACTTGTTTCCTGAGTAAGTGTAGCGGAATATGTAAGTAAGTAGTGGAACTCTCTGAAATTCATTTATTTGTTGCGCAACATGAAATCTTGAAGTAACACACATATATATATAGGTCTTACTTTGCTAACTTGGCTCCTTCAGGAGTGTGGAAGCTGTTAATAAGATGCGCAGTCGCGGTACCACTTGGATATGTCAATTTGAAGTCTATGACCATGATCTGAGAACAACCAATAGCTACACCATTTAAATTTATATTTTAAATAATATTGTTTCCAACGCAAACTTTAATAGATCAATAATCCACGAGTATTACAATTCTATCCCAAAACTGTTTTGACAATTTAGGTGAATATAAAATTGAGTTTTTTTGAAATCTGTTTGGTTCAATTTTTAAAAAACGTACTATTCCATACATTTTTATTATTGAGTTTTGAAAAACTGCAATCAAACAAATTTTTTTACAAATTTTTAATTTTCAGTAACCTAAAAACAAAAAAATTGAACCAAACGACCCTATCTTATTTCCTTAATTTTATCCAATGTGCAAGTTGTAAAAAATACCTTTCGGAGAGGGACCACTGAGAATAGGCCGAGAAAACTGACGACAAAGAGAAAACCTATCATCCATCCTATGGTCGGATTCTTATAGTCACTCTCTTGTCCTGATTCTTTGGCAATTCGTTCACTCATTCCAAAGAGGTAACTCCCAAAACCTCCTATTTGTACACAATAATTGAGACAAGAAAAAAAAAATGATTTTGAGAAATATAATTAATAGTTGAAAAAAAAAAAGAGAGATTGTTTTCGAATTTTAAAAAACAAAAGTCTATAGGAATTTGAGTTGCCAATGGACATTACCCAAGAAACTGTTGCGTTATAAAATAATAATAATAATAATAATAATAAATATATAAAAAAAAAAAACCATTAAAGATGCTGCAACTGATCCACTATGGCAGTTAACTAAA